AGGCTGTGCCGGGCTCTGCCCTGCTCCGGCAGGTGCGGGGACTCTGCGGGACCTTCAACGGGGACCAGCGCGACGAGTTCACGACGCCGGAGGGGGACGTGGAGCTGGGAGTCGCCGCCTTCGCCAACGCCTTCCGGGCGGCCGGAGCCTGCCCGGCGCTGGGCCCCGGCATTCCCGACCCCTGCGACGGCTTCCCCGGGAGCCGGGAGCGCGCCGAGGCCGCCTGCGCCGTGCTCATGGGCCCGGCCTTCCAGGTGAGGCCCGCGCGGGGGAGGGCGGGGACGGGTGACACGGCGGTGACAATGTCCCTCCGGCACAGCCGTGTCACCGCGTGGTGGATCCCGAGCCGTTCCTGGAGCTGTGCCGCTGGGACGTGTGCTCCTGCCGGGATCGGGAGCGGGAGCGCTGCCTGTGCCCGGCGCTGGGCGCCTACGGCCGGGAATGCGCCCGGGAGGGGACGGAGCTGGAGTGGAGGAACCGGAGCCTCTGCGGTGGGATGGGATCCATGGGATAACGGGACAACGGGATAACGGGACAACGGGATGGGATGGGATGGGATGGGATGGGATGGGATGGGATGGGATGGGATGGGATGGGATGGGATGGAATCAATGGGATGGAATCAATGGGATGAGATGGGATAATGGGATAATGGGATAATGGGATAATGGGATGGGATGGATGGGAATGGGAATGGGAATGAGGATGGGAATGGGGTGGGAATGGGGATGGGATGGGATGGGATGGAAATGGGAATGGGGATGGGATGGGAATGGGGACAGGATGGGATGGGGATGGGACGGGATGGGAATGGAACGGGACAGGAGGGGGAGGGGGTGAGGTGACGTCTGCCCCCCGTTGCCCCCCCCCGCCATGTCCCCCCAGACGAGCCGTGTCCCGGGGGGCAGCAGTACCTGGACTGTGGGGGTCCCTGCGGCCGTTCCTGCTCAGAGCCCCCCGGAGCCAGTGACTGTCCCCCCCCGGACACCCTCTGTGTCCCCGGCTGTCGCTGCCCCCCGGGGCTGCTGCTGGCCCAGGGGGGCCAGTGTGTCCCCCCTGCCGCCTGCCCGTGTCCCCGCGGCGCCCGCCTGTACCCCCCCGGCGCCCGCATCCACCGCGGCTGCCAGGCCTGGTGGGTCCCGGGGCAATCTGGGGGTGGCGGGGAGGTTCGGGGTGCTGGAGGGTCACCCACAGGACGGGGGACCCCAGGCAGAATGTGGCGGTGACGGTGACACGTGATGAAACCCCCTCCAGCCCGGTGTGACACCCCGCGGGGCGGAGGGGCTTTCGTCCCCTGTCCCACCGTGGGGACAGCGACGGGGCCGCGGCAAACCGGGGAGCGGGGGGGACCCCGTTAGGGGCCCTCGGTGGCATGTGGGCTCCGGGGGGATGGGGGTGCAGAGACCCCGTTGTGGGGGGCATGAGGGGTGAGCGGGGGAGATGGGGACCGTGCCATGGGGGTCTCAGCGGAATGTGAGGGCTGGGGCTTGGGGGGCACCGATGAGGGGGCTCGGAGGGTTGGAAGGTGCTGGAGATGGGGGTGAGAACCCTTGGGGGGGTTCTGTGGGATTTGGGGGCTCAGAGTGTTGGAGGCTGCTGGAGATGGGGGTGGGGACCCCAGGGAGGGGTTCGGTGGGATTTGGGTTCTGGGGACCCCGCCGAGGGGTCTCAGACACGGACGGGGGTCCCTCCCGCCCCCCGCAGTGTGTGCGCAGGGGGGTCGTGGCGCTGCGCCCCCGCCCCGTGTCCCCCCGGCCCGCGCTGCCCCCCGGGGCTGCTGCACGCCCCCGGCTCCTGCCTGCGCCGCTGCGACCCCGCCGAGCCCTCCGGCACCTGCGGCGGCCCCGCCGACGGCTGCGTGTGTCCCCCCGGGACCCTCTTCCTGGTGGGTGACACCCCCGGGGGATGGGGGTGTGGGACCCCCCCGAGCCCCCCTCACCGCGCTCTGGTGGCAGAGCGGGCGCTGCGTGTCACCGGACGAGTGTCCCTGTCACCACGGCGGGCAGCTGTACCCGCCCAACGCCACCATCGCCCGTGACTGCAACACCTGGTGGGACCCCCGGACACCCCCAGACCCTTGCCAGACCCTCGGAGACGCGCTCAGCCCCGCGGTGGCACCGAGCCTGTCCCCGCAGCGTGTGCCGGGGACAGCGGTGGCACTGCGGGCGCGAGGAGTGTGCGGGGACCTGCGTGGCCACGGGGGACCCGCACTATGTCACCTTCGACGGCCGCGCCTTCACCTTCGCGGGGGACTGCGAGTACCTGCTGGCGCGCGAGGCCACCGGGCTCTTCGCTGTCACCGCCGAGAATGTCCCCTGCGGGGCCAGCGGCGTCACCTGCACCAAGTCCGTGGTGGTGGCCATGGGGAACACCGTGGTGCACATGCTGCGGGGTGAGGGGACACGGGGGACACGGGGGACACAACGGTGACATCCTGGCTCGGTCGCGGTAGGGTGGGGACCCGAGGGGACACGGGGGATGCACGGGAGGTCATGGGGGGCCATGGAGGGACACGGAGGGAGATGGGGTGACCGCAGTGGCACCCCAGCCCCGTCGCGGCAGGGTGGGGTTTGGGCCAGAGCATGAGGGGACACGGGGATGCGGAGGACACGTGGGGTGACCCTCGGTGCCGCCCCGGCAGGGCGAGAGGTGACAGTGAACGGGGTGGCCGTGAGACCCCCCAAGGTGTTCGGGGGGTCGGGGCTGGCGCTGCAGCGCGCGGGGCTCTTCCTGCTGCTCCTCACGCGCCTGGGGGTGGCCGTGCTCTGGGACGGAGGTGAGACCCCGGGGGGACACGGGGGGATGGGGGGGACGCG